TGTACAAGGAGTGATCCCAAATCATCCCTAGTCATTATCTGGGCATCTCGGTCGCCGGATATCACTTTGAGGAGAATGGAGCTTTCCTCCCTTTCCTTCCATGGATTCTCAGGCTTTTTAGGTGTTATCCGAAATCATATTTTCATGTAGATTTGTCCTTGGCTCTTCCGATCCGACTCCTTTTATCTACGTAACATTTGCTTTTGTGTAGCATTTGATTCCAAGTTTCAAATAGACAATTATCATTTCTTCTTTCTGTACTTCTTTTCTACAAACTATCCCTATTATGGTTTCCACAGCAGCAACAAGCTTATCATGCTACCCTGTTTTACATCTTTTCACCTGCAACAGCACACTTTAATGCTGTATATACAGAAACACTTACAGCTTCCCTCTGCTTCCTCTGCCTCTACCAATACATCCGACTTATGACATCGAATCAGATTTCGTTCACATCACTGTAGTTGAAACAGAGAGTTCAAAAAATAGTGTCCTTCTGACTATTCCTATTTTCATATCGACGTTCCTGCGAAGTAATAATATACTGCTAGCACTCTTCTATCTCTTTCCATGCTGTCTACGCTACTTTCTACACTGTCCCTCCCTCTCCTCTTTCCTATTCATATCCATTTAAGTCTTTTCGGTGCGTTTAACAATACGTGATTCTATTATTATTCACTTCAGTCTCTCCCTTCTTCTTCTATTTGCTCTCGATGAGTCGTACGTTCTGCTGTACGTCGTCTAATCCCTTTCTGCTTCTTTTTGGGTGTGAAGGGAAAACGTTTTACTCGATGGTTGAGCAAAAATACTGGGATGTTCGTCTCTTTGGATATTACCAGCTTCGCCATCTCCCCGATTTTATTATCGCGGCTCCATCTCTCTTTCTGGGAGTTGCTAGCTGCGTACAAGGCTCTACACGAGCATTTCAGACGCGATCATTCTGGGCTTTGCCGCTCGTTGCTCATTCAGTCACCTTGCTTGTTATCTGCCTCACCACTGCGAATGTGCAAATCGTCACTCGTCTACTTCTCAGCAGCTCCCCTCTCTTCGTTTGGGAGAATGCTTTGTTTGCAAGACGTTGGTCCATCCTACTGGTTTATTGGGTAGGATATTGCTTTGTCGGGAGTGTCGTTTTCGCTCTCTTCTTACCTTGGACATTTTGTGTTTGTTGACAAACAGATGACTCAGGTTTCTTGTCACCTTGCGATGCTTCACTCTTCATTTCTTCTTTTGAAGGATTGAGGGAGTGTCCTGGGGTGCTGGGAGATAAGTCTGCTTCTTCCATGGTTGTTGAAGGTATTACTGGAGGATCGCATTGATGATTCTGTGTATCCTCGTGACATTGATGATGTATAGGCTGATCCTGCATAAATGGGAAAAGTTCATCAATAATGCGCGTGGTAGCATCACCTGCGATCTGCAGCGCATTGGACAGTCTGCCAGTAACATGGTATGTCTCATTCCATTCGCTTAATGACTCTCCTAACCGCTTTGCACGATTACCAATCTACTTACATAAATCATAATATATATACTTCAATGGGATTAACTAACTCTTTTGTTTTGTCAACCACCTTATTGGCAACTGACTCACAAGTCTCAACGACCTTATAGCGCTGGTCAATTTCTCGCAACTAAATGTAATGAGTCATGTATACCATACATTGCGACCAACTTCATTCACTGCAGATAGAAAACCATTTCCTATTTCAGAGAGAGTAAATGGCTCCGTTTTGATCTCTTTTGCTTTTATGGAATCAGTTTTCTGCTCTAAATCTTTCTGTAAATCGATACCTTTAGATTCCCCATTCATCACGGATTTAACTGCATCAGCTTCTTCCAGGTACATATGTAATGTTGCTTGAAGTCTTGTCTTTTCACCTTCTTCTAAATCGCTCATTGTGTCAATCAGAGAGTTAATAGCATTTTGGTAACTATAAATATAAAAAAATATATATACAAAAATACGTTTTTAGAGATTCAGTATACTGACCTCTAATTGATTGCATCCTTGCCTCATGAATTAGACTTTCAAACTGAAGGTCACTATTCATATTTTAAAAAGATTAAAGTGTTTTGTTGAGTTTGTATATTTTATTATTTAAGTAAATATGTTTTTTTCTTATTTCAGAAGCAAGCGTGACCGAGTGGTCCAAGGTGCTACGTTCAGGTCGTAGTGTGTTCGCACGCGTGGGTTCGAGTCCCACCGCTTGCATTTTTGCTTTTCTTTTTTAATATTATTTTCTAATTATATTATTATCACGTTATATGTTTTTATAGTGCTATCAATATTTTGTACAAGAATTGACGGTTATATTGACTGTTTCGTGTATTTATGCAATTGTCTTTTGTTGATATTCCAACTATATTATTACTTTGACAATAGGACGTTTTTAAAGAACATTCATAAACAATAGAGTTGCTATCGTATTGTATCTATTGTATTGTTGTAAAGGCTATGAGTTATCGAGTTTTGTGGAATATAAATTATCTGTTCTGAATTGGTGGAATTGCTTTTTTCAAGTTTGTATTGTATATTGTTGTATTACACGTGGATGGCTTTTTTTGTCGTCGTATCAATCGAAAATTGGATTATCTGTTACCAGTTAATTAAGAAACACTATTTTGAACAAGAATAACACCTTTAATTTACAGTACGTAATTGTCAGCACAAGCCGACGTCTTGTTGTTATGAGTTGTGTAGAAAAATGCAGCAATAATGGTGCTAATATTATCTGGTAAATATTACGTGGAAGTCACTGTCTTACCTATTATTGATTGAATCTGTATTTTATTGTGATAGAGAAAATAGAATAGAGTAGAATATTACTTGTCTATGCAAAAACTATGGAAAGACGAGTTTCGCAAATGCTTTTCAAAAACCAGTATTTTAAGGTATAGAATCGTGCTGTATAATGTACAAGTATCCGTACATCGGTGTATTAGGTGTCTTGATATCGTTGATCTAAATACGAGGTTTTTCGTTGTCAATTATATATTTATGGTTATTGTTTTGTTCTTTGTGTTGAGTGTGAAGATGAGGAGCAAAACACAATTTTCGCTGGTTCATGTTATGTATCTCAACAAGAATAGATATTTCGATGTAAAATATAACATATTGAAATACTAGATAGTATTTTTGCTTGAATGGGAGGTCAGGTGAAACTCCCTTCACTTTATTGGCTACCCCCTTTCTCTTTTTCTCTTTCTTCCTTTTCCATAAATTCTTTAGTATGAAGTTTGTTGTTGTCTGCCTTTTGCTTGCAGTATATATATGGGTGATGGTTTACTGTAGATCGTTTTTGCTAAACCTGGAGAGATTACCTGGAAAGTTTGCGACGACGGATATTACCACGGTCAAATATCCAAAGTTGCGATTATCAACAACCCTGTTATTCCTGGTCAAAACACCACTGTGATTGGCTTTGGTTCTTTGGACAAAACTGTTACTAGTGGAAAATGGAGTTTGACTGGATCTTTTATGGGCCTCCCTGTGCTCTATAAGTCAGGTGATCTCTGCAGTAATAGTGTTGTTGATCTGCCTTTCCGTACTGGAAGCATTTATATCAATGGTTTGAATTGCCCCACTCCTGCGGGTAGTGTCCAAGTTGAACAGAAGGCGATCTTCTACCAGAGTCCCCCTTCTGGAAAGTATACCATCCGATGCAAGATGCATGACCAGGATGATGAGCCCATCTTGTGTCTTGATATCACGATTCCGATGTAGAGTGTTTGTTCATAAAAAACAATGAAGACGCTTCTTAGAATTTGGTTCGTTCCGCCTGTTTTTTAAACCAAGTCAATACCTCTGGATCAGTAATATAACCCTTCATTTTCTCTAAGCAGAGCGAGTTATACTTCTCCAGCCATCGTTTCTCCTTCTCTGTTAACATCTCCTCCACACAAAGATCCGCCTGGATCGGTACGAACGACAGCACATCAAATCGAAGAAACTGGCGGTCCAGATGCTTTTTACATCCCTATTACCACTTTTCCTTTTTCTTATCCCATTATTCTCATTTCCTATTTGATTGCTTAATCACTTTATCAGTTTTAGTTTTGGATGATTGCATGTTGGCAGAATGTTTCAGTTTCAAAGCTTTGATCCTTTCACTCACATCGTTATGCTTCTTTTCTATACTTTCTTCCATTATTACTTGATAATCGATCCAACAAACAAAAACATTTATCTTACAAAGTATTCAATTCATATTCTTCTATTTCTTTTCTTTTCTTTTCTTTTCTTTTTTCTCTCTCCTCCTTCCAACTATTTATCTATCTCTATTTCATCCTATTGTGTATTCTCTACATTCCACCAATTCCCCATTCATCCATCAGTCCTTTTCGACACTTCCATTTGTACCATTTTCCCACGTTCCATCCAGCCTTTCTTTCCACATATCAATTCCGTCTACGCCGTAGCTCACAACTAGCACACATCCATTCACACTCCAGTTTACTCTCCATACTGCTTCCGAATAGCTTTTATTCAGACTTTGTTTCCACGTTTTACCACATTTCCGCGTCCAAACCAGTACTTGTTTGCTCTATTCCTTATTCCACTCCATTGCTCTTCACTCTTCCACACGATGCGATTACATCCGTCGAATCACCGATCTGCGGGCTCCACGCCACATCTCGTACTCGATCTTTATGTCCTCTCAGTTTCGACTCGAATTCCCACCCGTTTTCGACCGATTGTCCACATCTATTCCTCGCTCCACACCAATTCTCTCACTCCATTATGTGCACATACCCATCGCCGCCTCCGATCGCTACGCGCAGAATATTCGCGTTTTCCGACGTGCCCGGACGGAATGGAGCCCAGCTGATGCAGTTGCAGCCCAGTTGACAAATCATCGTTTGGGTTGTTCCCCATTCCCATTCATCTCCATAACACACACTCAACACTTCCATACTCTTCTGATATATACACGACATAGAACCATCGCTCGATACCGCTGCGAGACAAGCACCATATTCATAAGGCGACCAACACACAGAGTTCACTAAACAGATATCACCAAAGTCCACACAACTCACTTACCAGATGCTTTATGTCCTTCATATGTGTAAAAGACCGAATAGGAAGTGTCTTCAAATTTGAAAATCTTCACACTTCCATCATAACTACAAGAAGCCAAAAGAGATCCATAACGCGGATGAGACCATGCGATTTTCCATACAGGTCCGGAGTGTCTTCATTTTAATAGCAAACACAACACAAACTCCTTCAAAGTGAAGAGGAGTTCAGGAACATCCTGATTCATTGAATAAATACGAATTGTACAGTCTTACGCAATGTTGTATATGGAGAATGAAAATATTTATTTTTATTTGTCGTTTAGGAGCATTTATAAACGTATCATAGATATAGAATAAATAAATATAGCTGATAAACAAAACTACTACATCACGACTATTTGTCTTAATTAATGTTTACTTACAACAAAACAGAAATTGTTACTACCCTAACGACAAGGCAATTAAAAGGAACTTGCCACTAGTATATATGAATGTTTTTCTTAATACTGACTATTTTAGTATTAATAGTAATTGCCATACATTAATTACTAACCATAATTGTGCAATATCTCTATTTTTATTTTATTGATCAAAATACTTTTTGCATATTTATTTGAGAGAATGATCAAATGCTTTTTTTCTCCATCATTGTCAAATAGTTTTTATTGGTATCTTCTTTTCATTTTGCTGGCTATCTGTTGCTTCTCGTTTATATCGTCAATTCATGGGAAAATTTATAAAATCCTTTTTATGTGCAAGCATAGTATAACGTTATCTTCTTTGATTGTCATGTTTTTTTTAATACAATTACAATAAAAGAATTTTTATCGTTATCATCGAATCTTTGCTTCCATTACCTATAAACAATATTTATACTTGAATAGAGTAATTTACTTGAATAGTATTATTGTGAGTTAGACCATTGTATTTTTAAACCAGTACTATTAATAATAGGTCTATACAGTTTTTGATCATTTGCATATCTGCCATTTCAATAATTTTACAAAAAATGTGATAGGATCCTAGTTAATATCATACACTAATAGTAGTAGGGAAATGGCGCATAAAGCGCGAAAATTTTTTCGGCCCTTTTTCGGCCAAAGTTGCCCTTCAGACCCCCTCAACTGCATGCCCGTCGTCCAAAGTCGCCCCTCAGACCCCAACTTCCATAGCTCATCATGACTCACTTTGGTCAACCTGTAATTTTTGGCTTTCATAAGAAATAAGGGTCGAAAAAATAACCTTAGCCTACTTGCCTACCTTGATGGCCATGGCGCATAAAGCGCGTATATTTTTTCGGCCCTTTTTCTGCCATTTTTATTCCTGGCCTCCTTTTTTCTGCCTGACCACCATTGCTACCCATTGCCCACCTCGAGTACCATGGCGCATAAAGCGCGAAAATTTTTTCGGCTATTGGGGGAGCTTTGCTCCCCCGGGGAAGCTTCGCTTCCCCCATTTTCTGCCAATGTGGTAATTGTCTGCTTTTTATATAATGGTAAAGAGAGAAAGATCATGCACTACTCCATGCTTATTCAAGGCTCACCTACCAACGGCTCATTTACATGGGTTAATCCGTACAAGTACAAGAATCCCTATATCACTTCCATGACTGTGTTGTTTCATCCTAATGGGACTATGTTCAACAATGTTGACACGACGAATGTGATTACTAACAGCAATAACGAGACTGTAACGATCCCTGCTGGTTATTACACGATCAGTGAGATCATTGCCTTGCTCAATATGATGACCGATACTACATTTTCCATATCGACGAATGCCTCGTCGTTCGGCTGTATCTGGATTCAGTCTCCACACACCATTGATTTCACAGATGCACCTGACATTCGTGAGATCCTCGGCTTCGATGGACGAACGGTCATTCTACCTGCTTCGTTCAGTGGATCGAACGTGATTGATATCACGCGAAATCGACAAGTGATTCAGGTCTACTCGACGATCGTGCGATCATCGGACCTGAAGATTGCCAACCAGAACAACAACCTGCTCACCACGATGATCATTGACGATCCAACGGCTGACTACGTGCGAACTGTGGAAGACGTGTGCATTCCAATGATCACTCGGTTTGATCAATTGATGTTCGTGTTCCGCGATATGGATGGCAAGATGATGCGACTGAACGGCGAATTCGAACTCCAGTTGACGATTGAGGACGTGATGGAGGAAGTGCCATCATCGATTGCCTCTGCAAACCAGTTCAGTATGATTGAAGTGTTCGGTAATACCACCAAGAAGGAAGTGAAGCTGGACAATCCTCTCTCGTTCGACCAGTGCTACATCTCGTCTGTGTCGTTGTATACGGACTTCGTGTTGCACAACGTGCCGACTGATCAAATGGTGCTAATCAATGCTGGCGCTACGATTCAAGAGATCGCGATACCACGCGGTGCATATGACATCGAAACGATCATTGCAAAGCTGAATGCAAGTGATGCCCTGTTCGAATTGGTGTATAGCGGTGAGAATGCGTTCCACATCACGGTAGATCACTTCTACATGATCGATTTCACGAATGCACCAGAGATCAGGTCGATCCTCGGATTCGAATCGGACATCTTGGTGAAAGGAGTGGACAACCCGAAGCGCTACTACCTGTCTTCCTCGTGTAATCACGTGGTTGTTACTGACAGCAAGGAATCGCACATGTTGACATTGCCTATCGGTTACTACACGTTCTCCGAGTTCATCGAGGCTGTCGGTGCTGAAATGGTGAAAGTGCTTCCTCTCGTATCAATGACGATCGAGGATGATCATGTTCGCTTCAATGTCCAAGCAGACGGATGGTATTTCGATCGATCCAGTGTTGACACGACGATCGATGGTTTTGGTTGGACTCCATGGTTCAAACTGTCTCCATCTGTGCAGAACCTGTGCATCGAACGACCAGTGGAAGCTTCGTTCAACCCTGAAAGCGATTCACCACCTGATATGACGAATGATCAAGGTATTGGTGGTCATGCGTATATAGGATCAAACACCTTTATTGCGTATGACTGGAAAATGCGTACGACTGATAATCGGTTCCTGCTAAAGCCTCTCGCGACATACACAATGCGTTTAGCTGATGGTTCAGTACTCGATAGTGGTGAATTCTACATAACGGACGATACGTCTACCCCGATCAAGATGAATACTCTTACAACCACATGTTTTAATGAACTCAATGCTCGATATGCGAGTGCTATGGAACTACCTCCATCTCACCAGAATGCGATTGCGTGGACGGTGAATGACAATAGGGAAAGCATGTCATGGACTGCGAAGGACTATGCACCAGAATTGGAATTGCATATCACATCGGAAAATACAGGTGACTTGGTGTCATCGAATGGTTCTTCGATCGGACCTTGGTATTCCAAGGATAGTATATATCACACGAAAGTGTTTATCGATACGACGAATTTTATACTTGGAATACGTGGATATGGCGAAAGACCTCTCACAATCCAACGAGGTCATTATAGCGCTATTGATATCGTGAATATGATCGCTAATGTGATCAATAAGATATATGTAGATGCGTCTCTCGGAGGGTACTTGGTATATGTCATTGCAGATAATGGTGGTCGAGTACGAATGGGATGTCGAAATGGTACAGAACCACGATTCATATTGTTTTGTGATAATCCATGTTTCAAGATTATACCCGGACCATATGCTGAACCAGGTGGTGTGTAT